AGAATAACCTCAGTCTCCCATAATACAGTCTTCTTGGAAACCGAAGAGACTACTGGAGAGTGTTGTATCTGTTTCCCATATTGCACCTGGTTTGGAGCAGCTATTGAATGGCATGGAGGCCTTATACCTACACGGGAACAACAGATTGACAGGCAAAAGGTGTTAAAGCTTTTATGTATCAAAGTATCCTAAACACACCTTGGTCCTTATCTAGGGAAGCCATACATGCCTCTTGTGGGTAAATGGGAGAAAAAAGAAGTGAATCTAGGTAACTGCTAGATATAATGGCTTGGCCTCTGCTGGGATGAAGAAGCTATATCTACCCTATCTTTTGCCTTGTATCTTTCTTTGGTAAACATAATATTTGAATCTCTTGAGTCTGACTGCTGATTAGAATCTCTAACTGCTTCAGTGGTTTTGCTGATAGTAACAGAAATCATGTGTTTCAAAGTGATATCCGGTAAGAGGGTCCAAAGCCCTTAATGCATTTCACCTCAAATCTCCAACTAAACATGCATTCTCAACAACAGAAGGACATTTTGGCATTTTAGAACAGGCTTCAGTAGATCAGTTAAGCACCAATTTTGAAGATATACAAGTAACATCATATTTAGGTGATGCTAATTTAAGACCTAACTACAGGTCAGAATAAGAGAAAAACAATCAGGTAGGCTGGGCATGGTGGCTCACGCCTGTAATCCAAACAATTTGGAGGCCAAGGTGGGCGGATCACCTGAGGTCGGGAGTTCAAGACCAGCCTGACCAACATGGTGAAACCCCGTCTACTAAAAAAAAAAAGAAAAAGAAAAAGGAAAACAATCACGTGTCATTAAGTACCACATAACCACGTTCTTCACCTGATGGTCTTACTTCAACCCATTCTGTCAGGCTTTCCTCTGCACCATTCTAGAGAAACTACAAAGTCCTCAATGAGCTCCACTGTCTACTTGACCTCTCAGCAGCAAATGCAGTCGGTAACTTCTTCCTTGAAAATACTTTCTTCAGCTGGGCATGGTGGCTCACACCTGTAATCCCAGCACTTTGGGAGGCTGATTACAGATGCCTGCCACCATGCCTGGATAATTTTGTATTTTTAGGAGAGATGGGGTTTCACCATGTTAGTCAGGCTGGCCTTGACCTCCTGACCACAGGTGATTCACCCACCTTGGCCTTCTTCAACTTACAGGTATTGATCGACTTTATGACCCCAACCGCTAGCCACGACTGCTCCGCGTCTGGCAGCGCAAATGTTGCCCAGCTGGGCTTATGACAGTGCAGACCAGCTTCCGGCAGCACTACCATCTCCACGTGCATATAGCCTACTCAACTTATGACCAAATTGTGTTACGACTGGTCTGTCAGAACCAATCGTGGTCATAAGTCGAGCACTGGCTGTATTTAAGGATGCCATATTCCACCAAATTAACCAATCAAGTTATTTATTGGCTGTGTGGATTTTGAGGAAGCTACACCATCTCTCTGCAGTCTATAAAACATGGATAAAAATCATACCTATGTAATAGAGTTGTTAGCATTAGCCAAAATAATAAAAATAAAGCACTTCAAATTGCTGATACATAGCACACAATAAGTAACCATTATTCTATCCAATCTGTTGTTAAATCTTATCGGTTTGACTTTTGAAAAGGCTCTCATCTCCATCCAGTGTTTTCTACAACTACTGTCACTAGAATATGGCATTAGTTTATAAACTGTTCTGTAAGTCATCTATTTGCAACAGGAGCCTATGTATAACCCATCTAAAACGCAGACCTGGTTGGTGCTTATGTCAAAACATGCAACATTAGAAATTCCTTAGCACCTTCCTGTAACATAATACACAGTTTAAGAAAACATTGCTAAAAAAAAAGTAACATTTAACTGGAATAAAAGTTACCGTGTAACAACACCAGTTACTTTACATACATTTTTGTAAATCCTCACAATCCCACTAGGCAGCAGTTTCTTCCATCTTTTTTTTTTTTTTTTTTTTTTAAGACAGAGTCTTGCTCCATCACCCAGGGTGGAGTACAGTGGCACAATCTCAGCACACTACAACCTCCGCCTCTGGGATGCATGGCTAATTTTTGTATTTTTAGTAGAGACAGGGTGCCATGTTGGTCAGGCTGGCTCTTCCATCTTCTTAATATAAAGACTCAAAGGTTAAGTGACTTGGTTAAAGCTAGCTAAGTAAGTAGTCTCAGGTATGTTTGATCCCAGATTGTCTACCTTTTGGTAGAATTTCCTGCAATTTATCACCATGGACTCTATGTTCTGACTCAGGAATTCCTTTTTTTTTTTTAAATTTTTTTTTTAAAGACGAGGTTTCACCATGTTGGTCAGGCTGGTCTTGAACTACCGACCTCAGGTGATCTGCCCGTCTTGGCCTCCAAAGTGTTTGGATTACAGGTGTGAGCCACCACACCTGGCTTGACTCCGGAATTCTTAACCTGAAGTCCATGCAACTTTGGACAAGAATTCTTGGGAGCTCCATTAAACTGTTAAATGATACATTTTAAAGATAAGGTAAAACAAAGACTCTTGTACAAATATAAAATGAATTCATGGTAAAGATTTAAGCACAGTCATGGGCTGCTTAACGACAGGGACACATTCTGAGAAATGCATAGTCAGGTGATTGTGTAAGTACATCACAGAGTGTGCAGTTATTCTGTGAGGTAGTCACACAAACCTAGGTAGTATCAGGTACTACACACTTGTAATTTTATGGGACCACTATCATACATCTGGTCTGTCAGTATGTGGTGCTTGACTGTAAATGAGGAAACCAGTTAAGTGTTAAAAACCAGTTCAGGCTGGCCATGGTGGCTCACAGCTGTAATCCCAGTACTTTGCGGGGTCGAGGTGGGTGGATCACCTGAGGTAGGAGTTCAAGACCAGTAGGACCAACATAGAGAAACCCCATCTCTACTAAAAATATAAAAATTAGCTGGGCGTGATGGCACATGCCTATAATCCCAACTACTCAGGAGGCAGAGGCAGGAGAATCGCTTGAATCCAGGAGGCGGAGGTTGCAGTGAGCCGAGATTTCGAGATTGCACTCCAGCCTGGGCAACAAGACCAAAACTCTGTCAAAAAAAAAAAAAAAAAAAAAAGCAAGCAAGCAGGTACATAATCAGAAACGTTGAAATAAATATCAATAAATACTGGTCAGGACAATAATTAATTGCATCTTTACTGGACAAACCTAATTTCCATATTGCTTTCTACAAGTTAAACAGTTGTAAAATAGTTAAAAGATTATACATAGATAACCTGGAAAAGTGAGCCTGACACCAAGACATTTGTGTGTGTGTGTTCGGTATTTAAAAGTATTTCGTAATTTTTTCTGGGGAAATTATACGGATTCTTGCTGTTGTCATCCAGGCTGGAGTGTAATGGTGCGATCTCAGCTCACTGAAACCTCTGCCTCCCGGGTTCCAGCAATTCTCCTGCTTCCACCTCCCGAATAGCTGAGATTACAGGTGCCCGCCACCACACCCCCAGCTAATTTTTGTATTTTTACAAAAGAGACGGGGTTTTACCGTGTTGGCCAGGCTGGTCTTGAACACCTGACCTCAGGTGGTCCACCAGCCTCGGCCTCCCAAAGTGCTGGGATTATAGGTGTAAGCCACTGTGCCTAGCCTAAAATGTTTTGTTCTGAGACAAAGCCTTGCTCTGTCGCCCAGGCTGACGTGCAGAGGTACGACCTTGGCTCACTGTAATCTTCGTTTCCTGGGCTCAAGCGATTCTCCTACCTCAGCCTCCTGAGTAACTGAGACTACAGGCATGCATCACTACTCTTCACTAATTTTGGGGTTTTTAGTAAAGACGGGGTTTTGCTATATTGACCAGGGTGGTCTCGAACTCCTGTGATCCGCCTGCCTTGGTCTCCCAAAGTGCTGTGATTACAGGCGTGAGCCACCGCGTCAAGCCTCGCAAAATGTTTTAACACGTGAACATGTACGTTTTCCTGAGAAAGTAATCCATAATGTTTACTATGTTTTCAAAAGAAGCGTGCCAAAAACAGGTTAAGAATAATTGCTCTAGCCACTGCCTACAATTCAAATCCCTCAACACTTAGTGGCCTGGGTCTTTTACCTTGTCTGAATCTTATCATCTCAATTTCCTTATTAAATTTTCAAGACCCAGGTTAAATGGCAGCTTACTCTTTGAGGTCTTCCACCACCATGTGTTCTCTAATTAATTGCCTCATTTGTTTTCTCTAAGTTTCTTTACTAACGCACTCTGCATACCGTATCTAGCATTTATTGTTAGTTCCCTTCCATAACTGGACTTTTAACTCTTTGAGGACGATGGTAGAGTCCTGCAAAAGAATATGATAATTTTAGAATATAAATCCTCACGTTCGTTATCCTCTGGCAGCCACAGCTTGGCTCCAATTTGCGAAATAAGGCACTCTCTTTACTGATTCCTGCTCCTGTCGGCATCCGTACTTCCGCACGGACGCCGTTATTTGCTGGGCGCGCCCCAAACCTCCCCACGCAGGGTCCCAAAGCGCCCCCACTCTCTGAAAACAGGAACTACAAATGCTGCCGGAGGACTTTCGCGCGTGCGCATAGAGAACTTGGCCAAGGAATTGATGGGAGCGCGTGAGGGGGGCGGGGTAAGAAGGACAACAGATGATAGAGTAGACCGCGAGAAAAAGGACGGAGTTATTTAGAGTTTGCGCAAGCTGAGAGACCCTATAGACCGCCTGTAACTTACTCCGTTCAACTCCCAAAATACAGGGTCAAGTACTGCGGCCTTCAGTCCTTTCAGTCTCTCGATCCCGACAGTCTTGGTTACTTTCGCGTCATAGGACAAGCGACAACGTTCTCTGGTCCCAGTCGAGAAAGATGGGCCCGGAGGCAGTGCGCGCGCCACCTACGTCACAGGCGAGTTGGTTCCGGGAGGGCGGGGCATCGGAGAACGCGGCCCGCTGAGGGGGCTCGAAGCCCAGGAAGAACGTGATTGGCGGGTTGAAAGTGGCGGTTTTTGGCTGAGACAGAGGTGGGCGGGCTAAATCTTGGGTCCTCATCTGGTGCGGTCCCGCGTTAATGACGTCACGTTGTTTCGCGGGAGAAATTCGAAAGTGGATTTTGTGGAATTTGACAGGTGAGGTGAAGTGTTTCTTGGGATTTCCTAGGAATAAAAGGTAAATAGGCAGGGAGACTTGGGGGATTTGGGGCGAAGGGACGAAAGACTCTGCTCCATAAGAGAACTGGTAGGGATACTGTTTGGAACCAGGATTATGGTGGTCGCAGCTGCTTGAACTGCTTGTAAAAAGTTGTGCCTCAGCCGGGCGCGGTGGCTCACGCCTGTAATCCCAGCACTTTGGCAGGCCGAGGCGGGTGGATCACGAGGTCAAGAGATCGAGACCATCCTGGTCAACATGGTGAAACCCCGTCTCTACTACAAATACAAAAAATTAGCTGGGCATGGTGGTGCATGCCTGTAGTCCCAGCTACTCAGGAGGCTGAGGCAGGAGAATTGCCTGAACCCAGGAGGCGGAGGTTGCGGTGAGCCGAGATCGTGCCATTGCACTCCAGCCTGGGTAACAAGAGCGAAACTCCGTCTCAAAAAAAAAAGTTGTGCCCCTTCTTCACCGCTTTTCCCAGGGCCTGCTTTGTAATTTCGAGTATGTATGAGGACCAAAGAGGGCTTTGCTGTTTGTATTTAGGACGAGAAAGGATCAAGTCTCCATTGTCATTTGGTGACACAGGACTATGGTGATTAGAATCTTAGAAAATGAGATGTGGGTTTTCTTTTTTTTTTTTTTGTCCAACAGCATAGCATAACTACAGTAACTGTTACAACAGTGTTGGAAAGATTTTTCCTTGCAGAGGTACTGTATAATGTATATTTGGTCCTAGATACTGTGGTATATTGATGTAAGATGTGAAAGAAAAATTTAAAACGCAAGGGGGCCATCTTGTGGTGGCTAAAGCAATTCAGAAAACTTTAAAAATTAAATTTGGCCTATAAGGAACCAAACGTGGAGGACAAATTCTATTTTCTGATACATATTATGGCACCTGGAAAAATGTTTACAGACTACAAATTAGTTTATATATTTTACTTAGTTTTTTCTTTACTTGTGAAAAAATTCTTGTTTCATAGCATGATAATCACTTTTACTGTGTCCTCAGTGATAGATAACTTTATTACAACTCCGTTTCCCTTTGTAGTTAGGTAGTCTTGGAATTCATTGATTCATGTCTGTCTGTGGTCAAGAGTTTATTGAGAAAAATTATATTTGATACTTTAAAAAAATCAAGGTTGATATTTTTTGTCATTTTTAATTTTAGGTGGTATAAATAGTTGAATAACTACTTCCTATTTTCTGGACCCGCGGTTTATAACTTCAGAAGAAATGGTGGAAAGCCAAGAATTTATTGTAAGTTTTACCATTTTTTCACAGTTGAAATGCCCTTCCTCTCTCCCTTTCTTCCTTCTTTCTTTTAAGGGCGCTTCACAAACATCTTGCTGTATTGCCAGATTTAGCAAAAACAAAACAAAAAACAGGCTACTAAGTTAAATTTTAATTTCAGATAAACAATGCATACCTTTCTTGGCATAAGGATGTCCCAAATATTGCACTGTGTTTTATCTGGCAACCCTATCTGTTACCTGCTATTTATATTTTTACACAAAATCATCACTTTTCAGCCTTTTGGCTAAGATCAAGTATTAGACAAAGTCCTTTGTAACCTATTCTTTGGAAGTGTGAGACCAGGAAACAATTTCTTCTCTTAAAGAACTGGCACACCTCTTCTGTACAGATCATTGGTTCTCACATTATTAGGTCTTAGGACCCTTTAACACTCTAGACAATTATTGACCCCAGATAACTTGTTTATGTAGGTCTCACGTCTATTGATGTTTTGCATACTAGAAATAAATTAAAACAGACATGTAAAAAGTGTTTATGATTTGACTTAATAGAAGACAACTAGAGTCTCATATTTGTTTCTACATTCAGGCTGCAATTGAATCTTGCAATATTGCATATACATAATCCCGGGAAACTTCATTCTGCAACCCTGAAGGAGTGAGGATGAAAAGACAGCATGATGAAAAGAGTTTTCACCTCACAGACACCTGTAAAGGTCTTAGAGACCTCCAGGAGTCTCTGGACCAAACTTTGAGAACTGCACAGATTATGAGTACTGTGTAACTCAATAATTTTTTCCCTTTTCACTGATGAGTAGGGAGCTCAAATTACTTTCAGTGCTCATTTATATTTTTGTTTCTTCCTTGGATTTTTCCTCTCCTTTCTTTCTTCCCCTTTCTTTTCCTCCCTTACTCCCTCCCTCTTCTTCTCCTTACCTCTCTCCCTTCCTTCCCTTTTTCTTTCATTTAATTAATGTTTAATGTTATTGTCATACCTGTGCTTCTGTTTTTAAAATTTAAAAAATTGATATGGGTGTATATGCCTTTTTTTTGATGAAAGGTGCCTGAAATATATTTCATATGTAGGAAGGATATATGAAGTATATAACATTGAATATATATAATGGAAATCATTTTTTGTGTGTTTTTGGAAATAAGGTCCTATATACTCATCAGAAGATGAAGAAGTCAAAAGTGTGGCAAGATGGAATTCTGAAGATCACTCACTTAGGAAACAAAGTGAGTACAAAGCAGTTGACTACAGAGTGTAAGAGTGAGGTTCTCTATTTTTGATTGAATATTTAAAAAACTGTATGTGATAAAATGTCAAATATATCCATACACTGAAATGATGTGAAAACAGATTTTCAAATGATCACCATATCACAGTGGCTAATTTGTGCATTATAAAAATAGTTCATTAATAACCTCCTGAAAAAAGGAAAAAAAAGGTTCACCAGGCCAGGTGCAGTGGCTCATGCCTGTAATCTTAGCACTATGGGAGGCTGAGGCAGGTGAATCACCTGAGATTAGGAGTTCGAGACCAGCCTAGCCAACGTGGTAAAACACCGTCTCTGCTAAAAATACAAAAGTTAGCTGGGTGTGGTGTGCATGCCTGTGATCCCAGCTACTTGGGAGGCTGAGGAGTTGCTTGAACCCAGGAGGTGGAGGTTGCAGTGAGCTGAGATTGCACTACTGCCCTCCAGCCTGGGCAACAAAGTGAGACTCCATCTCAAAAAAAAAAGGTTCACTAATAGATAGAATGAATAAGATCTGAAATTCAGTAGCACAGTAGAGTGACTATTTTTTTTTTTTGAGACAGAGTTTCACTCATGTTACCCAGGCTGGAGTGCAATGGCATGATCTCGGCTCACCGCAACCTCCGCCTCCTGGGTTCAGGCAATTCTCCTGCCTCAGCCTCCTGAGTAGCTGGGATTACAGGCACGCTAATTTTTTGTATTTTTAGTAGAGACGGGGTTTCACCATGTTGACCAGGATGGTCTCGATCTCTTGACCTCATGATCTACCCGCCTCGGCCTCCCAAAGTGCTGGGATTACAGGCTTGAGCCACCGCGCCCGGCCGTTTTTTTTTTTTTTTTCCTTTTGAGATAGAGTCTCACTGTGTCACCCAGGCTGGAATGCAGTGGCACAATCTCGGCTCACTGCAACCTCTGCCTCCTGGGTTCAAACGATTCTTCTGCCTCAGCCTCCCAAGTAGCTGGGACTACAGTTAACCGCCACCACACCCGGCTAATGCTTTTGTATTTTTAGTAGGGATGGGGTTTCACCATGTGGCCCAGGCTGGTCTTGAATTCCTGACCTTAGGTGATCTGCCTACCTCAGCCTCCCAAAGTGTTGGGATTATAGGTGTGAGCCACTGTGCCTGGCTGAGTGACTAAGGTTAATAATAGTGTGTGTGTGTGTGTGTGTGTGTGTGTGTGTGTGTGTGTGTGTGTGTGTGTGTATTTATACATATATTTGTTTCTCTTCTTTTCTTTTTTTTTTTTTGAGACAGAGTCTCACTCTTTCGGCCAGGCTGGAGTGCAGTGGCACAATCTCAGCTCACTACAGTCTTTGCGTCCTGGGTACAAGCGATTCTCCTTTCTCAGCCTCCTGAGTAGCTAGGATTACAAGCATGCACCACCACGCTTGGCTAATTTTTGTGTTTTTATTAGAGATGGGGTTTCACCATGTTGGCCAGGTTGGTCTCAACTCCCGACCTCAGTGATCCACCTGCCTCAGCCTCTTAAAATGCTGGGATTACAGACATGAGTCACCATGCTGGCTATGTTTGTATTTCAGAAAGATTGGTTTGGCAGCAGTGTAAAAGTTGTATAGGATGAAAGTCAGATTGGATTTCAAAGACTTAAGGAGGCTGTAGAATAATCTAGACAAAAAGTAATGGAAGTCTGACCATGCAGGCATTAGCAATGGCAATAGAGAAAAAGAATAATTAGAGAGAAATTATGAAAATATAGCCTCTTAGATCTTGGATATTGAAGGTGAGAAGAGGATCCAGAATGACTTTTAGGTTTCTGTATTTATCTCCTGAAATGAGACATTTCAAAAAGAAAAATAAGTTAAAGGGAACAATCAAGATTTTTAGTTCCATTTTGAACATAATAAATTTGAGGCTGGGTGCAGTAGCTCATGACTATAATCCCAGTACTTTGGGAGGCTGGCGAATCACATGAGGTCAGGAGTTCGAGACCAGACTAGCCTGGCTAACATGGTGAAACCGTCTCTACTAAAAATATAAAAATGAGTTGGCTGGGCATGGTGGCCCATGCTTGTAATCCCAGCACTTTGGGAGGTCAAGGAGGGTAAATCACAAGGTCAGGAGATCGAGACTATCCTGGCTAACACAGTGAAGCTCCATCACTACTAAAAATACAAAAAGTTAGCTGGGCATGGTGGCACGTGCCTATAGTCCCAGTTACTCAGGAGGCTGAGGCATGAGAATCACTTCAACCCAGGAGGTGGAGGTTGCAGTGAGCTGATTCTGCGCCACTGCACTCCAGCCTGGATGACAGAGCCATGCCACTACACTCTCTAGCCAGTGCTACAAAGTGAGACTCCATCTCAAAAGAAAAAACAAAAAACAAAAAACAACATTAGCCAGGAGTGGTAGTGGGTGCCTGTAATCCCAGCTACTTGGGAGGCTGAGGCCCAAGAATTGCTTGAACCCAGGAGGTGGAGGTTGCAGTGAGCCGAGATCATGCCACTGCACTCCAGCCTGGGCGATAGAGTGAGACTCAGTCTCAAAAAGAGAAAAAATAAATACAATGAAATAAATAAATAAATTTGAAGTATGGAAACACGTAATTAGCTGTAGAGACCTATAACTCAGGAAGGAATTTCGGACTACTGGTATAGATTAGAAGCCCTTGGCTTTTAGATGGTATTTGAAACTATTGGAGTGGATTCATTTATTCAACACATATTTTTTGAGCATCTGAGTGAGTTGCATACTGTTCTAAGAAATACAGCAGAGAACAAAACAGATAAATCCCTGACTTCATGGAAATAACATGGAGGAGATAGACCACTAAATTAAATGAATATGTATGTCTAGTGAGTAAGACAATAACAAGGACATTAGTGTGGTTGGAATGAGTGAGCAAGGGTGAGAATGGAAATAAAGGGGATTATATAAGCCTCACTGGCTATGGAAAGAACTTTTGTTATTCTTAGGGAGCTGTAGAGACATTGGAATGATTTAAGCAGGAGCATAACATGATCTGATTTATATGGATGATAGTGCTCAGGGAGGGTGTATTGAATTAAAAGAATAGAGGGACAAGAATACCAACTTTTTTTTTTTTTTTTTTTTTTTAGACGGGGGCTTGCTTTATCTCCCCGGCTGGAGAGTGTAGTGACTCCATCTCAAGAATACCATTTTTAAAACAGCTTTATTCACACACTTTTCGATTCACCTATTCAGTTATTTTTAGTGTTTTCACAGTTTTGCAACCATCAACACAATTTAAATTTAGCATATTTTTGTTGCCGCCAAAAGAAATCTCATACTCTTTAGCAGTTACTACTCAGTATCCAGCCCCCAGCCCTATGCACACATGAATCTACTTACTGTCTCTATAGATTTACCTATTCTGGACATTTTTGCATGAATGAAATTATATAACAAATAATCTTTTGTGAATAGGTCTTATTTAGCATATTTCCAAGGTTCTTCCATGTTGAAGCATATATCTTCATATATATTTTATTTATTTATTTGAGATGGAGTGTTTTGCCCAGGCTGGAGTATAGTGGCATGATCTTGGCTCACTGCAGCCTCTGCCTCTTGAGTTCAAGTAATTCTGTTTCAGCATCCTGAGTAGCTGGGTGCTTGCCACTATAGGTGCTTACCACCATGCCCAGCTAAGTTTTGTATTTTTAGTGGAGATGGGGTTTCACCATATTGGCCAGGCTGGTCTCGAACTCCTGACCTCATGATCCACCCGCCTTGGCCTCCCAAAGTGCTGGGATTACAGACGTAAGCCACCACACCTGGCCTGTATTTTATTTTTTATTGGCAAATAGTATTACACTGTATGGATTTATCATGATTTTCCTTTTTTAAATAGACAGGGTCTTGCTCTGTCACCCAGGCTGGATTGCAGTGGTGCAATCATAGCTCACTGTAGCCTCAAACTCTTAGGCTCAAACAATTATTCTGCCTTAGCCTCCTAAGTAGCTGGGACTACTTAGGCTTACACAGCCATGCCCACTAATTAAAAAAAATTTTCTGGCCAGGCACGGTGGCTCATGCTTATAATCCGAGCACTTTGGGAGGGAAGGTGGGTGGATCAGGAGGTCAGGAGTTCAAGACTAGTCTGGTCAAGATGGTAAAACCCCATCTCTACTAAAAATACAAAAAATTAGCCAGGCATGATGGCAGATGCCTGTAATCCCAGCTACTCAGGAGGCTGAGGCAGGAGAATCGCTTGAACCTGGGGGATGGAGGTTGCAGTGAGCCAAGATCACGCCATTGCACTCCAGCCTGGATGACAAGAGCAAAACTGTATCTCAAAAAAAAGTTTTTTTTTCTTAGAGATAGAGTCTTGCTATGTTCCGTGGACTGATCTTGAACTTCTGGTCTCAGATGATCTTTGCATCTCAGCCTACAGAGTACCTGGAGTACCTGAGATTATACCATGAGCCATGTACTGAGCCCAATAGATCATGGTTTATTTATCCATTCATAATACAGTTGATATACATTTGGGTTACTTCAACTTTTTGGCCATTATGAATAATGGTGCTATGAGTATTTATGTGTAAGTTTTTGCATAGACATATACAAAAGTTTTTCTCTTGGGTATATACCTAGGAGTGTAATTACTGGATCATGTGAGAACTTTATGTTTAATCTTTTAAGGAATTACCAAACTGTTTTCCAACATGATGGAAACACCAATGTTAAAGGGACTAGTGGAAAAATTGCTATGAAAAAGGGCTAGAGACAAGGGGAAAGCTAGAAAATGGCAATTACCTTACCTTCCTTTTTTTCCCCTTATCCCTCACATTTAACAAGTTTTATTCATTGTATCTCATAAATAATTGTCTTATCCCAAATGCCAGTACCTTATTTTAAGTGCTAATCGTCTTCTTCATCCTGTATACCATCCTACTGCAATAATCTCTCAAATGATCTTGCCTCCTATTTGTCTCCTTCAATGTGTTTCAATTATGTTTTCTTCCCAATTTCCTTCCTTCCTTCCTCCCTCCCTCCCTCCCTCCTTCCTCCCTTCCTCCCTCCTTCCTTCCTTCCTTCCATCCTTCCTTCTGTCCTTCCTTCCATCTTTCTTTCCTTCCTTCCGACGGAGTCTCGCTTGGTTGCCCAGGCTAGAGTGCAGTGGCATGATCTTGGCTCACTGCAACCTCTGCCACCCAGGTTCAAGTCATTCTCCTGCCTCAGCTTGTATTTTTAATAGAGACGGGGTTTTGCCCAGTTGGCCAGGCTGGTCTGGAACTCCTGACCTCAGGTAATCCCATCATTTCGGCCTCCCAAAGTGCTGGGATTATAGGTGTCAGCAACTGCACCCAGCCTCTTCCCAGTTTCATTCTCATATCCTCCTGGTAGGAATTAAGTTCTTGAATTTCTTTTGTGTATGCCTTCACTCTCTTACACAGACTGATGCCTAAAAAACATTCAAAATAGAGGCATTTTCAAATCCAAGTTCAACAAATGTAATCATTTCATTATATGATCTACTTATATAACAATTACTTACTTTCTCTTGAAGATGTTTAAGAAAAGCATAATTGTGTTGTTCTCTTTTAACATTTATTTTGTTTTAATACAGGCAATTTTATATGATGACAAAGGAGCATGTTTGGAGAGTCTGTTTCTTAAATGCCTTGAGGTATTGTAGTGTGTTTATCTTATTTTTAAGTTATTATTTAAAAATCTCTTTAAATATATCCTTTATAAATGTTGTTAAATAGTGTAGTCATTATATTAATACTCATAGTTACTATTTGTTGAACATGTAGTATAACTAGACTGTGCCAAAACCTTTTAAATATTGTTTCCTTTAATCTCTACAACTGACTATTTAAATCTAAAACAAGCTGATTTTTATAGTTTAGGAGGGCAGTGAAGAAAGGCTCATGTTCATAGAGTTACAGTGGTAGGAAAGCTGAGATTTGATCCCAAGAGCTGATTCTAGAGTCTAATTTGACTACATGATTTTTTCATAGGTAGAGGTATACTGTTGGAATTTTTTTGTGACATATTCTCGTTTAAGTGTAATATTCTCTCACCTAAAAACAGAACTACTATTCAACCCAACAGACCTATAACTGGGTATATACCCAAAGGAATGTAAGTTGTTCTACCATAAAGACACATGCACCTGTATGTTCATCATAGCACTATTCACAATAGCAAAGACATGAAATCAACCTAAATGCCCATCAGCGATAGACTGCATAAAGAAAATGTGATACAAATACACCATGGAATGTTATACAGCCATAAAGAAAGAGTGAAATCATGTTCCATTTCAGGAACACGGATGGAGCTGGAGGCCATTATCCTTAGCAAACTAATGCAGGAACAGAAAACCAAATATTACATGTTCTCACATATAAGGGGGAGCTAAATGATGAGAACGCATGGACACAGAGGGGAACAACAGACACTGGGTCCTACTGGAGGACGGAGGGAGGGTGGGAGGAGGAAGACGATCAGGAAACAATAACTAATGGATACTAGGCTTAGCACTTGGGTAATGAAATAATCTGTGTAACAAACCCCCATGACACAGGTTTACCTTTGTAACAAAACTGTGCATGTACCCCTTAACTGAAAAATAAATACATAAATAAAGTATTCTCTCAAATACTTAGTTTTTGTTTTTCCTCTCAAAGAGGAAAAAGCATAGAAAGAGGACTAAAGGCATATTTTAGTGAAAAATAAGTGTATTAGAGTTGGTCATTCTGGGTTCATTTCTCACACCTAAGTACTTTCTGGTCCACCAATGCTTTCTATGTCTAACTTCACTGCTGTAAAATATAGATCATAGACAGACTTTACAAGGTTGGTCTGAAGGTTAGAAATAACTTCTGTAAAGTGCCTAGCAGTTTTAGTATAGTGATTCCTTTTCTTCTTTTTTTTTTTTTTAGACAAAGTCTTGCTCTGTTACCCAGGCTGGAGTGCAATCGTGCACTCTCTTGGCTCACTGCAACCTCTGCCTCTCTGGTTCAAGCAATTCTCCTGTCTCAGCCTCCTAAGTAGCTGGGATTATAGGCGCTTGCCCTATAATCCCATGCCCACATAATTTTTGTATTTTAATAGAGACGGGGTTTCACTGTGTTAGCCAGGATGGTCTTGATCTCCTCACCTTGTGATCTGCCCGCCTCAGCCTCCCAAAGTGCTGGGATTACAGCGTGAGCCACCGCACCTAACTCCTTTGTTTTTTTTGAGATGGAGTTTCGCTTTGTCGCCAAGGCTGGAGTGTGGTGGCGCAATCTCACCTCACTGTGACCTCTGCCTCCTGGGTTCAAGCGATTCTCCTTCTTCAGTTTCCCGAGTAGCTGGGATTACAGGTGTGCGCCACCATGCCCAGCTAATTTTTTGTATTTTTAGTAGGGATAGTTTCACTATGTTGGCCAGGCTGGTCTTGAACTTTTGACCTTCTGTGTTAGCCAGGATGGTCTCGATCTCCTGACCTCGTGATCCTCATGCCTTGGCCTACCAAAGTGCTGGGATTACAGGCATGAGTCATCACACCCGGCCTAGTACAGTGATTCTAAATGTGTTAAAATGTATATTATGATGATGTAGTTGACTTCTGGCCATAGCATTTAATTCATTTTGAAATTTTACACAACATCAATAGTGGTTATGGTACTATATTTTTTTAAAAGGGTCTAGGAGAATCGGTATCTTAGTATATGGTTTGATTGGTGGTGACTACTGTTATTTAATCTTAAAAAATCATTTCATTAGTAAAATATTAATCTGATACAGATTTTGTGTATTTTCAAATTAGGCTGATAATCTTAGAGGCATTTTTTTTCTTGTTCGTCTTTGTATCCCTAGCATGTAATAAAGGGCCTCATTATAGGTCCCCAGTACATAATACTTATTTACTAATTTAACTTTTTTTTTTAGAGACATTGTCTCACTCTGTCATCCAGGCTGGAGTATAGTGGTGTGATCATAGCTCACTGCAGCCTCAAACCCCTGGGCTCAAGGGATCCTCTTACCTCAGCCTTCCGAGTAGCCGAGACTATAGGAACATGCCACCATGCCTGGCTAAATTTTTTTGTTTTTTTCAGACAGGGTCTCATTCTGTCACCTAGGCTAGAGAGTAGTGGTGTGATAACCGCTCACTGCAGCCTTGACCTCCTGGGCTCAAAGCATCCTCCCACCTCATCCCCCGAATAGCTGAGACTACAGGTACATGCCACTATGCATGGCTAATTTTTTTAAAAGCTTTTTGGAGAGTTGGGGTCTTGCTATGTTGTCTAGGGTGGTCTTGACCTCCTGGCTTCAAGCAATCTTCCTGCTTTGGTGTCTGAAGTGCTAGATTTACAGGTATAAGCCATCCCACCCAGCCCGGACTAATTTAAAATCAAATTTTTTTGCAGAGACAGGATCTGAATATTTTTTCCCAGGCTGGTCTCATACTTTTGGCCTCAAGCAATCCTCTTGCCTTGGTCTCCCAAAGTCTTGCAATTACAGGTGTAAGCCACATCTAGCTCTAATATATGTTATTGAATAAATAAATTAGAGGCTGGATGTGGTGGCTCATGCCTGTAATCCCAGCACTTTGAGAGGCCAAGGAGGGAGGTCAAGAGATGGAGACCATCCTGGCCAACATGGTGAAATCCACGTCTCTACTAAAAATAAAAAAATAGCTGGGCATGGTGGCACATGCCTGTAGTCCCAGCTACTTGGGAGACTGAGGCAGGAGAATTGCTTGAACCCAGTAGGTGGAGGCTGCAATGAGCCAAGATCGTGCCACTGCACTCCAGCCTGGTGACAGAGTGAGACTCCATCTCAAAAAAAAAAAACAAACAAAAAAAAACCAGATAAAATTTTAAATATGTTATTGTCCTTTTTTGTGCTTATTAATAGTTAACTAGTATATAATAATAAATAATTGAAGACTTTAGGTACTGATTTATTCGTTCAACACCTATTTATTTTGTCTTAGTGCTAGTGAGCATCCTGGAATACGTAGATAATCAAAAATTAGATGTATGTGATTTTAATATTTATTCTTTAAATTTTAGGTGAAACCTGGAGATGACTTAGAAAGTGATCGATACTTAATCACAGTTGAAGAGGTTAAAGTTGCTGGAGCCACAGGTATTGTTAAGCAGAATATGAATAAAGAAGCACCAGAGTTAAATTCAAGGACATTGATATCCTCTGGCCGATCTCTTGGATGTCAGCCCTCTGGCTTAAAAAGGAAGTTTACTGTAAGTTTTTCTGTGGAAAATAATACATCAGATATATTTATCAAATTGTCTCAAAAAGTAGTGAATTTTGAAGTGATTATACTTTGTCATTCAAAGGGCACTTAACAGTATACTTAGGTAGAAAGGAAATAAACCCTACTTTGAAAAATCTTATTACAAATGAATGTAATGTAACAATTTTAAATCTGAATTATTACTTTACCTTAGGCAAAGCACAAACAATCCTTATTCTTTTTTTTTTTTTCTTAGCCAGTTTATTTCACATTTTCTTTATGGGTAATGGTACAGCTAACAGTTATTTTAATATTTTCAGGGTTTTCAAGGACCACGTCAGGTTCCGAAGAAAACGGTTACTACGGAAAGCAGTGAATCGGCTGCATCACATGAAGCTCAGAAACCTGGCCCTACTTTTTTTTCTCCATTCTACAGCATGCCTCCTTTGTTTCCTACTGTTGGCAAGAAGGATGTAAATAACATACCAGCAGACCCTGAGAATGTTGTGACTTACAAGAACAGAGAGAGAAATGCCATGGATTTTTCTTCGGTTTTTTCTCCATCCTTCCACATTAACTCAGAAGTGCTATGTGAAGAAAATTATTTTTGCTCTCCTATGAATTCTGGAAGTAAACTTTCAGACTCTTTACTGACCAGTGAGCCTGTGAAAAGAGATAGTTTGGCATCCCACTGTTCAGGAATTTCACAAAACATCAGAAGCAAAGCACAGATATTAGCTCTTCTGAAGTCCCAATCAACTGGTACATGTGAGGAACTAAATTCTGAGATAACAGAGCATTTTCCTCAAAAACAACCACATAGAAGTTTAAAAATTGCTACTAAATCAAAGTATGTAATTCAACAGGAAGAGTGTGCTGAGATGAAGAGCACAGACAATTTATACTGCCAGCATCAATCAGAAAATACCATGAGAAGTAAAAGCCGGTGGGCCATGTATTTATCCTCACAAAGTTCACCTATGGATTTTTCTACTGAAGATGGGCATGATACAGAAAGGAAACCCAGGGCTCAGGAAGATGATATGAATTCTAATTTGAAAGATCTTTTGTTACAAAAAAAGATACAGTTCTTTGAAACATGTGCTGAAGAGGGGAAAAAGTGTAATGTAGACAAGTCAGTGGGTAATAATGATCAATCCTGGAATCAAGAAGTAAAATTAGAAATTCCTTCATCCAGCGATGGCAGTGGCTTACAGGTTACCTGTAAAAGTGCAGAAAATGATGGTACATTATCAGAATCAGACATTCAAGAAGATAATAAAATACCTTTTAATCAAAATGACAAGGTGTGCATTAAAGGATCAGTTCTTGTTAAAGAAAATGATCAGGAGGTAAATACATGTGGAACACTGGAAAAGGAATGTGAACAACCAGAGTCATCTCTGCCAGAACCAAAACATCTCCAAACTGAATCTAGTAATAATGCTAGGATCTCTGATGACATTACAGACATGTTTTCTAAAAGTAAAATGGATAATGAAAATCTTAATAGTATTCATGAATCGCTGAGTAATGTAACACAACCATTTTTGGAGGTAACTTTTAATCTGAACAATTTTGAAACCAGTGACACTGAAGAGGAGTCACAGGAAAGCAAAAAAATTTCCCAGGACTCAGAGAGCTGGGTAAAGCACATTTTGGTTAATGATGACAATTTATGTGTTCAAAAGAGGTCTGAGAATACAAACTATAAAGAGATTGAGGGTGAACATTTGCCACTCTTGACATCTGTTGGTGGCAAACCTACAGAGACATTTCCTATTAAAGAGACTCTGCCATCACACTTTTGTGATAAAACTTTTGTGGGTTTTGACATGGGAATTTGTAAAGCTGGAAACACTGGAAAAGAAATAGAGGAGTATAGTGACACATTGAGCAATTCTGAATCTTTTGAGTGGACTGGTGATGTATACATAGGTAACAAAGAAGATGCTAATAAATGTATTCAAAAAGTCAGAATTAACTATGACTCTGCTTTACTCCCAAATAAATCTAAAGATACAAACATGAATTCACATATTCCTCATATTCAAAACCAGACTGCTGAAAACAGTAACCTATTTTCAGAAGATGCTCAATCTCATCCTTTTATTTTGGGAAGTGACCTATTAGACAAAAATGATGAACATGTTTTACCGTCAACTTCTAGTAGTGACAACAGTGTCCAACTATTAAATACCAATCAGAATCACTCTGATTGTATTACACTTGATAAATCAAATACCCACATTTTCAATTCTTTGTTTTACCCACTGGGAAAAAATCATTTTATTTCCAAAGACACAGAACCACATAAATCTGAACCTGAAGATTTGGGAAAGATTATTAGTCTACCCCCTAACCATATTGAAGTTGAAACTTCTGGAGAGGACAACCAATACTGGAATCCTAAAAATTCTTCAGAACTTTCTGGATTAGTAAATACCATTTCCATTTTAAAGTCACTATCTGAACACAGTACTGCTTTAGACAGCTTGGAAATATTGAGAAAGAAAAATACTGTCTTCGAACAAGGAACTCAACAGACATATGAGCCAGATAGCAGTCCTGAAGGTTAGAATTGAATGTCTATTTTGGATTGTTCTCTTTATAGCTCTAAGAGCTATAAAGAATATAGATATTAGCTCTGGTTGCTACATTAAAGAATTACATAGTGTTTAAATGGATAATACATGTACTTAATAAAACCAGTATTAATAGAGAGTAATACAATGAAAAGTAAGTCCCCATCCAACCACATCACTCAGTCTACCCTTCAGAATTAGCTACAGTTTTCTTCTAAGATACCCCTCCAGAAATATTCTATGCATATATAAGCATATATTGGCATATTTAAGTGAATATGTCAAAAAATATATATGTATGTATGTGTATGAATATGTCAATCTATTTTTTTTTTTTTTTTTTTTTTTTTGAGACAGTCTCACTGCCACACAGGCTGGAGTGGCTGGCTGAAACCTCTATCTCCCAAGTAGCTGGGATTACAGGTGTACACCACCATGCCAAACTAATTACATCTAGTCTTATCATTATTCATTTTTAGACAGGTAGTAGGGAATAATTTTTTTTAAAAGTGAGTTTATATTAATACTTCTAACTTCAGTTCTATACCATAGAGTTCTTTTCCTCTTTCTTCCATTCCATAGTTGTGTTTCTCTTTTATTTTTTTTAAAACAGTTTAACTCTTGTCCCCGGGCTGGTGTGCAATGTCATAATCTCGGCTCACTACAACCTCCACCTCCTGGGTTCAAGCGATTCTCCTGCCTCAGCCTTCCAAGTTACAGGCGACTGCCACCACGCCCGGCTAATTTTTTTGTATTTTTAGTGGAGACAGGGTTTCACTATGTTGTCCAGGCTGGTCTTGAACTGACCTTGTGATTTGCCTGCCTTGGCCTCCCAAAGTGCTGGGATTACAGGTGTGAGCCATGAGCAACCGTGCCCAGTTCATAATTGCATTTTTATACTCCCATAATATGAGAGGATCCTGGGTCCCAGTATTGGTATACTTCCTCAAATCTGCAATACCAGAGAGCTTCCAAATTGTTATATCATTGTTACTGCTAGTAAAAAAGCTTTACAAATTCATAAAGTTCACAAATCCTTTGTAGTTTTTGTTTTCAGAATATATTCTATTGAGAGTGTAGAATTAAAATACTAGTTCAAAAATTGGGTTACTTTTTCCTTAGGATGATTATATTAGCATTTTATATAAATGTAGTTAAGTTCATTATTTTTAGTCTATGTGAGGGCTATTTTTGTCCATCCTTGTTGATTGATTGATTGATTGATTGATTGATTTTATTTTTTGAGATGGAGTCTTGCTCTGTCACCCAGGCTCTAGTACAGCGGTGTGATCTTGGCTCACTGCAGCCTTTGCCTCCTGGGTTCAGGCCATTCTCTTGCCTCAGCCTCCCGAGTAGCTGGGACTACAGGCGCCTGCTACCATGCGTGGCTAATTTTTTGTATTTTTAGTAGAGACGGGGTTCGCCATGTTGGCCAGGCTGGTCTTGAACTCCTGGCCTCAGGAGATCTGCCTACCTTGGCCTCCCAAAGTGCTGGCATTACAGGTGTGAGCCACCGCACCTGGCCCAATTTGTTTCTGACAATGTAAAATATTAACTGAGTTCAAAAGTCAAAGCTGTATAGAAACATTCTCAGATTCCTTTCTTATACTTTGTCACATTCCTACACGCCTGCTCTAGGCAACCAATATACTTATGGTTCTTTTTATAAAAATAAATAGCTTCATATAGAAATTCTTATTTCTCCACATTCAGTAAAATACTAAATTCATATTCTTTAACCCCTTGCGTTTTTCACTTAAAAATATATCCTGGAGGCCAGGAGCAGTGGTTCACACCTGTAATCCCAGCACTTTGAGAGGCCGAGGTGGGTGGATCACGAGGTCAGGAGTTCGAGACTAGCCTGACCGACACGGTGAAACCGGGTCTCTGCTAAAGATACAAAAAATTAGCTGGGCATGGTGGTGCGTGCATGTGCACCTGTAATCCCAGCTACTCAGGAGGCTGAGGCGGGAATTTCTGCACTTTAGCCTGGGTGACAGAGCCAGACTCCGTATAAAAAAATATATATTTATATATAATTATTCATAGGAATTAATCATTTCTTATTCCCATTAGTAATCTATAAGACTGGCTGTTTCTCCACAGCCTTGCCAATAGTGTATTGCCCAGCTTTTGAATTTTTGCCAATATAATAGATGAGAAATGGCTTTTCAGTGTATTTAATTTATTTGTTTTTGGTTTCTTTTTGAGACAGAGTTTTGTTCTTGTTGCCCATGCTGAAGTGCAGTGGCGCGATCTCAGCTCACTGCAACCTCCTCCACCTCCTGGGTTCAAGTGATTAGGCCTCAGCCTCCCAAGTAGCTGGGATAACTGGTGTGCCCACCACACCTGGCTAATTTTAAATTTTTAGTAGAGATGGGGTTTCACCATGTTGGTCAGGCTGGTCTTGAACTCCTTACCTCAAGTGATCCACTCACATTGGCCTCCCAAAGTGCTGGGATTACAGGCATGAGCAACCATGCCCGACCTTTTCACTCTATTTTAAATTTGTATTTTTACTAGTACAGGTGAAATTGAACATCTTTTCATTTGTTTAACATCATTTGTTTATTTTTTTCCATGAACTATCCTTTCTATCTACCATTTGTCCAGCTTTTTAATTCTTAATTTCTAAGAGTTCTTTATATATTAGCATTATTAGCCCTTTATGATATGTTGTAAGTGTTTTCTTTCAGTATGTCATTGATCTTTTGACTTTCATTACGGTACACTGGCAACAACATTGTCTTTTAAAGAATACAATAGTAAATAATGTATACATTTGAATGTAAATGAACAATGCACTACTCTCAGAAGGTAAAATTCAACTTTTATTTGAATATCTCATGAGATTCCGGAGAAAATTATAAATAGCTTATTGTACCTACTAAAATGATTCTTTGAAATGTGATTAAGTTTGAAGATAATTGTTATTTTCTAAAATAATAAAAATAGCTGGGCGCGGTGGCTCACACCTGTAATCCCAGCACTTTGGGAGGCCGAGGCAGGTGGAGTTTGAGACCAGCCTGACCAACATGGTGAAACCCTGTCTTTACTGAAAATACAAAACATTAGCCAGGTGTTGTGGCAGCCTGTAATCCTAGCTACCTGGGAGGCTGAGGCAGAGAACTGCTTGAACCCAGGGTGTGGAGTTTGCAGTGAACTGAAATACTGCCATTATACTCCAGCCTGGGCAACAAGAGTGAAACTCCATCTCAAAAAAAATAAATAAATAAATAAAAAAGAAAGAAAGTAAAAAGCTTTAATGAAAACTATGAGTAGAAGGTTTTATGATACCATATAAGACTATGAATTTCTAGCATGAAGGTTTAGGTCTTATAAGATTTCATTTTGAGGGCCAGTTGCAGTGGCTCATGCCTGTAATCCCAGCACTTTGGGAAGCCAAGGTGGGCAGATCACCAGAGGTCAGGACTTTGAGACTAGCCTGGCCAACATGGCGAAACCCGTCTCTAATAAAATACATAAAGATTAGCTGGGTGTGGTGGTGGGCACCTGTAATCTCACCTACTGGGGAGGCTGAGGCAGGAGAGTCAGTTGAACCTGTGAGGCGGAAGTTGCAGTGAGCAGAGATTGTGCCCCGGCCCTATAGACTGGGCGACGGAGCAAAACTTTTTCTCAAAAAAATGATTTGGTTTGGGAAACCAACTCTTCTCTCATCGAGTTGAAAATTACAGTTGATTCTGATTATTTGCAGTAGTTCTGTGAAGTCACTGATAATACATAATTAGTAAATAAGCCTTGCTCCTAGGGGAAATACAATACAGGGTTAAGTTCTTTCTTGCAAGTCTGTGGTCAGAACATTTTCATTATTTCATGAATACATAATCTTGTTTTATGTATGTTTCTGCTTAAAGATGCTTTATTTATTTATTTTTAAGACGGGGTTTCACCATGTTGGTCAGGCTGGTCTTGAACTTCTGACCTCAGGTGATCTGCCCACCGTGGCCTCCAAAGTGCTTGGATTACAGGCGTGAGCCACCACACCCAGCCAAGACGCTTTATTTAATATGTATTGGTGATTCATTAACATTGAACTCATAGCCAACAGCAATATAACTCTTACCTGTAAAAAAACTTACCTAACACTTTACTTTCTTTATAAGGAACATAGCAGTCTTCCTGCACTTGGGAACACTAGACGGCACTATACTTAGGGGACTTTTTTTTTCTTTTTGATACAGAATCTCACTCTGTTGCCCAGGCTGAAGTGCAGTGGCGTTTGCTACATACACAGTCTCCACTTTCTTACCTCTTATTTATTCTTTTTTTTTCTTCTGAGACTGAGTCTCACTCTGTTTCCCAGGCTGGAGTGTAGTGGTGCGGTCTCGGCTTACTGCAACCTCTGCTGCCTGGGTTCAACTGATTCTCCCACTTCATCCTCTCAAATAGCTAGGATTAAAGGTGTGTGCCACCATGCCCAGCTAATTTTTGTATTTTTATTACAGATGGAGTTTTTCTATGTTGGCCAGGCTGGTTTGAACTGACCTCAGGTGATCCGCCCACCTCAGCCTCCCAGAGTGTTGAGATTACAGGCATGAGCCACTGCGCCCAGCCTCTTTGGGGACATTTTAAATAGTGAAATTACCAGTAAAAAGCACAGAAATGAAAAATGTGGCACTAAACGACCATGAAAAAGACGATTGTTTACAGTGTAAGCTAAAACAAGAAGGCAAGAGCGTTGCCTTGAGAACATGTGCTTTATGCAATTCACTTTTTGTTGCTCTATGTATGTCTGCAAATGACCATGAAAGTAAAGCCAATACCGATTTGGGGGTCACAAATAAACTTTAGGGAGTAGGCAGAATCCATGAGTAATGATCGACTAAATTTGCTTTTTTGATGTAAATATATTTCTCTAAAAAGGATTAAGTTGGTTGCTTGAGACAATTTGAGAAGATTGAATCACTAGGGTATAACATACTTTCATGAAGTTTAATGCAAAATTAGAGAAGAATAAATTTTGCCACCAATTTAGAATGTGTGAAAGTGTTAAAAAAAATCTCCAAATTTTTTTGTGAGATAATTGTATATAGCTTAGAAACGTTAATTTAGAATGTTATTCTGTAGCAAAGGCAGTAAAGGAAAACATCAGTTTCCATCCAGTATTTTTAAAAAACTTTTTAGAAATGTCAAGTTCCAAAATGACTTTTTATTTTATTCTGAATTTTAGCAGGAAAATAATGAAGTCATAAATAGCAATTGCCTAAAAATGAAGTTTACACTAGTTATAGCTGTGATTTTTTTATAGTAATTATCATTTTAAAATTTGTCTTTTTGTGATTTTAGATTTATAAAAAAAAAATCTTTTTTTTTTTTTTGAGATGGAGTTTCACTCTTGTCCCCCAGGCTGGAGTGCAATGTATGATCTCAGCTCACCGCAACCTCTGCCTCTCTGGTTCAAGCAATTCTCCTGCCTCAGCCTCCCAAGTAGCTGGGATTACAGGCATGCACCACCACAGCTTGCTAATTTTTGTAATTTTAGTAGAGACAGGGTTTCACCATGTTGGCCAGGCTGCTGTCAAACTCCCAGCCTCAAGTGATCCGCTGGCCTGAGCCTCCCAAAGTGCGAGGATTACAGGTGTGAGCCTCTGCGCCTGGCCAAAAAATCCTATTTTTAAAGGGATACCTGATAAGGTGGCAAAACTAGCCACCCTGCACTCCTTTCTATTCTGCATGCTTGCCATCTTTTCTGCCTCAGAGTTTGATATTCAGCCTTTTACCTGAACACTTTTACCCTTGTCATGGCTGAGTTTTTTCTTGAAGTCTCAACTTAAATGTTACCTCCCATGAGAAAATTTCCTGACCCCTGTATCAAAAATTGTTCTGTATCATATCACTGTTCGATGAGATGCCATTTTGTATCATAATCTGAATTTATCTGGTTTATTATTTGTCTACTGTGTCTCTTAAGGATTTTTTTTTTTTAAAATTTTGTCTTATTCACTGTTATTTCCCTAGTGCCTGGCACATTGTACTTAGGAAATACTTGTTGAGTGAATATTTTAGAATGTAGAATTTTTTTTTCCTAAGCCATAGCCAAAATGGATTTCAGATAGACTAGAAATACTGCCGGTCGCGGTGGCTCAAGCCTGTAATCCCGGCACTTTGGGAGGCCGAGGCGGGTGGATCAGCAGGTCAAGAGATCGAGACCATCCTGGTCAACATGGTGAAACCCTGTCTCTACTAAAAATACAAAACATTAGCTGGGCATGGTGGCGCATGCCTGTAATCCCAGCTACTCAGGAGGTTGAGGCAGGAGAATTACCTGAACCCAGGAGGCAGAGGTTGCTGTGAGCCGAGATCGCGCCATTGCACTCCAGCCTGGGTAACAAGAGTGAAACTCTGTCTCAAAAAAGAAATAACGCCAAGTGCTTTTTTTCAGTGCTGTTTTTTTTTTTTTTCTTTTTTTTGTAGACATAGTCTTACTCTGTCAGCCAGGCTGGAGTGCAGTGGTGCCATCTTGGCTCACTGCAACCTCCACCTCCTGAGTTCAAGTGATTCTTCTGCCTCTGCCTCCCAAGTAGCTGAGATTACAGTTGTGCACCACCAGGCCTGGTTAATTTTTGTATTTTTAGTAGAGACAAGGTCTTGCCATATTGGCCAGGCTGGCTTGAACTCCTGGGCTTAAGTGATCTGCCTGCCTTGGCCTCCCAGAGTTCTGGGATTACAGGAATGAGCTGTCATGCCTGACCTTGCTTTTCTTTTCTGTGGTTGCACATAGCAACAGTATACTGGGAGTCTTGACTTTCTTGTTCCTAACAGTTGTCCAGTACTTCATTTTTAGCATTTTTAGTATAGGTTAATAACTAATGGTTTAGTATTTATTTTTTAATTAGTATAAAAAAGGAATACAAGGAAAATTCCTACTGTTGACTTAGAAAGTAAACAAAAGGGCTTTTATTCTAAAGATTTTTAAATTTTTATCATAAAAATGTTTTAATCTAAACAGAACAGTACAGTGAATCCTCAAATAACTACATTCCAGATTAAACAATTACCAAAGTTTAAGTTATATTCCTTGTCTCAGTTTTAGGAATAAGTTAAATTTTAGAGTACTGCTATATGTAAAAATGACATGATCATTTCTTTTCACCGTTACAGTGAGGAAACCATTTACTACAGTAGTTTCACGAAAGTCTCCTCATCTGCACAAGGATTCTCAACAGGTACAGGTTTTTTTTCTAAGAGTATGTTCTTTTATTTTGATATGAATGTTCTGTAATTTGTAATAGGATTATAGTAACACAGTCCCAAGCTATCTTGGTTCATGACCCCTACTGTATCGTAGAAATTTTTCATTGCATCCATCAGCCAAAAGAAATACCTAACAGTTTCATTTATTATGTAGTTAGTAGTATTAAGTAACTTATTTCCTAGTAACTTTGTAAGCATTTTGTTTGTTAAAAATCACTGTTACTGGATCACTTTTACACTATTGGTGGGAGTGTAAATTAGTTCAACCATTGTGGAAGACAATGTGGTGATTCCTCAAGGACCTAGAAATAGAAATTCCATTTGACCCAGTAATCCCGTTACTGGGTATATATCCAAAGGATTATAAATCGTTCTATTATAAAGACATATGCACACTTATGTTCATTGCGGCACTGTTTACAATAGCAAAGACCTGGAACCAACCCAAATGCCCATCGATGATAGACTGGACAAGGAAAATGTGGCACATATACACCATGAAATACTATGCAGCCATAAAAAATGATGAGTTTGTGTCCTTTGTAGGGACATGGATGAATCTGGAAACCATTATTCTCAGCAAACTGACACAAGAACAGAAAATCGAACACTGCATGTTCTCATTCATAGGCAGGTGTTGAACAATGAGAACACATGGACACAGGGAGGGGAGCAACACACACTGGGGTCTGTTGCGGGGGGAATAGGAGAGGGACAGTCAGGGGTAGAGAGATTGGGGAGGGATAACATGGGGAGACATGCCAGATATAGGTTACAGGGGGATGGAGGCAGAAACCACATTGCTATGCATGTACCTATGGAACAATCCTGCATGTTCTGCACATGTACCCCAGAACCTGAAGTGCAATAAAAAGAAAAAAA